CCTACTAACCTCATCCCGCCCCCTTGACCTGTCCGTCCTCCCTGGATTGACCTATCTCCTCCGTAACTCCCCACCTACACTCACCTTTACTGGCTCCATCCCCGCCTCTCTGACCTGTCGTCTCCTCTCCACCTATCTTCTCCTTTATCCATCTTCTATCCGCTTCCCCCTCTCTCCCTATTTATTTCAGAACCCCCTTCCCCTCCCCTATTTCTGAAGAAGGGTTCTAGGCCCGAAACGTCAGCCTTCCTGCTCCTCTGATGCTGCTTGGCCTGCTGTGTTCATCCAGCTCTACACCTTGTTATCTCAGATTCTCCAGCATCTGCAGTTCCTACTATCTCATAAATACCCCAACTTGCTGTACTAACATTGTACTTCCAATTCTCCTTTCCTTAATTGAGAAATTAAAACAGGATGAGTACTTGGTAACTTGGCACTTCAGTAGCTTGAGAAATGGCTGTGTAATGTGTCTCCAAATGGAACAGCTTCTTCTGCACAAGGTGCTTCCATTGTCAATGCACATGGACCCTTCATCCATGCACCTTGGCTTTGGCAAAACAGCAGCCTCACGACAACCTCATGTTTACTCTCAAATCATCTCTCACCACTTTCATGCATCAACTGTATCCTTTAAAACAGAAAGACAACTAGGATTACATGCTCCTGATAGTTTGCTTTGTACAGCTAAGCGTCTCATGGCATCCACAATGAAGCTGAGTTGCTGACTACTGGCCTCTGCTAAAGGGCTAAGTTAGAGGCAGACAGTCTCTGTGGTTTAGCCGGAAATTTAGTCCAGAAGGGGTGGCAGGCAGATTGTGGCATACGGGAGCACTGAAGAGGTAAACATATTAAATAGACATGGAATCCACTTGAAGCTAATGGTTCTGTGTGAAAGCCAAATGGGAACAGTTCTCAGTAGGGTGAGGGTGGACTACAGTCAGTCAGCAGGTACTGCCATAGTCAATTGAGGGCTGAGCTGATTATAGTTCAGGGATTGGGCCACAGTTAGTCTAACAAGCCAAGTCCAAGCAGTCTGGGGTTAGTCAGTGGGTCATCTGGGGTTCTGTTGAGAGATTGATCTTGGAGAGTAGATCATGGTCAATTGGAGCTGTCCTGCTAATTCATTACTGGGAAACTGTATCAGTAATAGTGTTTGGTTGCAAATAGTCAGGAAGCAGTCCATGGTGTCCTGAGGAAAGCCAACACATCAAGTCTGGTGATGGGCTTCACCTTCAGACAAGGCCAATTGCAGATGGCCAGGTGGGATTTCATAGGCAGTGACAGCTTTCAAAATGTGGAGGGATGGGGGAGATCAGGCAGTATATGGTTACTCTAGTTTCTACATGGGGAGGCTGAAGGGCTGTGGTGATAAAGTGGGCAAATTAATAGTGATGGAAAGTGGCCCAACTGAAATGGTGGGGGTGGAGTGCTGCTGAGGAGTCATTGGAACCAGAGAGAGAATAACCCAAAAGGGAATGTGCAGAAAAGGGAAATTTGATATGTTAAAGATGGAGGCTACAAGTTACACTAACACTGACACTAACATTGGAAACTCACCATGTTGGATTGAGCATCAACTATTCAATAGCTACATAAAACGGTGTGACTGCAATGCCACCCATCTGCCTTTTAAGTCTCGCTGCATCTAAAGGGTAGTAATTGTCAACGAATGCTGGTAACCGTTAGGGCTCCAACCACTCATACGCATTACATTGTGTGCGCTAATTGTCTCCTTGTCATGTCAAGCTCAGCAAGTCAACAAGTTATAAATAACAAGGAACTTTTTAAGCAGAGCCAGAATTTCCCATTTGGCAACAATATTTCGTAGCAAGCTTTGGAAGACAACACATTGTAGCAATCAGTTTCTCACACTGAAAAGTAAAGTTACAAAGACATGGGCTGTGATGTGGAAATATTTTCTTTTGAGGGGAGCAAATGATAGCTTACTGACTGATGTCTGCTCCCAGCTATGCACAGCAAACAACTTTGGTTGTTAACTCTGCAATTGGATAAGGTCATCCAACCTCTGAACGCCTTACTGAGACATTACAATGATGTCCCTATGAAGCTTCCATGCCACACTGCGAGGCATCACATTCAGCTTGATTGCTACGGGTGTGTGGGCCCAAGCATTCTTTCAACAACACTGCCTCATCTAGTCTGACTTATCCTATAGCTTATTGTTTAATGGAGCTGAAATATTTGAGGCCTTGCCTGGCTTCCTGGTGGTCTTGGTGCTACTCTGAAGAAACCAGAGAGAGAAATGGCTAAAAGAGCTTCAGTGAGCCCTGAAAGAAAAGTAACATTCAACAGCTACTGCACAACCTCCCAGAGACAGGAGCAACAGGTGAAGAACCATCAAGGAGATGCAGACAAGTGATTAGTCTCCGAGTATCAGCTTCGCTGAAGTTGGGTTCAGATATGGCAATGACAGCGCCAGCAATGAGTCAGGATATCCCACTCCATCATATCAGATCTGCCTGCTGCTGGAGGAGGAATTGTGCTGATAAGGACTGGTATCAATCCAGGACGTTGAGATTTTCCGATGTTGGGATCTTGTGGTGTCTGTATCTCTGGCCAGAAGGTTTAGGTTCAGGTCCTATCTATCCTGGAGATGTGCCATAACATGGCCAAACAGATTGATTAAAGGTAAGAATAAAATGGTTTTAATTGCTGCTTGGCCATCACCCTCAAAGGTAAATTCAAGGATCCATGACGTCTGAAGCTATTTGCCGTCAAAGAATCTGTTGCTTATGAGTGATAATCAGTGTTGGGTGATTGCGACTTCTTACATTCTTGGGATGCATGAAGGGGATGTTCCTCATCTCTGTCATGGTGTGACTTAGTAGAGACAATTTGGCACTACCTAACCTTGTAAATGCAGGAGATCATTGATTTTCTTCTGGCACTGCTGGCTGTCCCTTTTGGACACAGGATACAACTTTGGCCAGTACTACTAATTCTTTCCAGGCAATTTGGGTGTGTTGGCACTGTTTCTGTGGTTGGATGGGAAGAGGACAGACATTTTGTGCATCATACAATCCTCCAGCACCTTCAGATCTTTCTCCAGGAAACAGGGAATGAGCTATGCTTTCTTCTGTGAAGATATGCTCACAGTTTAGAGATGAGCATCGCAGTGTGAGTGATTTGTTTCTGGTTTGCAACATCACAAGTGGTATTGAGCTGGGCATTAATTATGACATCAGCAGGTTCCAGTATATATTTGCATCTTACTTGCTATGAGTTTCAATGAGAAATGCACCCAACATCTTAGTTGCTTAATTTACGAAGAAACCTGCCAGCTATTGCAGAGCTGATACCATGAAAGTTACTTACCACCACTTTTTAATTGAATGTGGGAAAATTCAGCCCAAAACGTTCTTCATGTAGACACTGTTAGATCTGCAGAGAACTCCTTGAAATTCCATATAAGCCTGTATTAGGCATTGGTCAATGTGCATTAAATATGACCATTTAACACTGGACAATACTGTAACAAGAACAATGCTATCAAATGCAATATTATTTCACTGTATTACCTCAATAAATTATAACTTCAGTTGTTTCAAAGTTACAGCTGTTTTTACTTTAAAAAATGTTGTGGGGATTGAATAAATACGTTATTCAACATTACAATTTTTCATTCTACAGCTAGGATTAATAATGACATATTCTGATAGTGTCATATAGCTATTAGTGTTTGGTCAGTATAATTAGGACCATGAGCTTGCATTACTGAATCTCACCCTGGTTTGCACCTCAAGTCTAAGTGCATCTGTAGTTTGCACACTTCAGTAAAGCAACATGTGCTAGATTTTAAAAAAACGTAGTTAAAGGCTTGTCATAATATCTGCGATTCACAAGCTTTTTTAAAGCTATCATATTTTACAATAAACTTTCCCCTCTGGAACACATCCTTAGGTAGTGCAGGATCACAATAGGTCCGTGCACCCAGCTAACAGTTTTCGGAGACACACGAAGGTTAAAGGGTTTTCCTGACTGTTTTTCTTCCTGTTCCACTTATTCCATATGCCTGCCTGCACTCCTGTTGCTGGCTGATTTTATTTCAGGAGCTTCATTGTGGTTCTCCCATTGCAAACCCCTCAGTGAAGGTTACAAGTACCTTTTTAAAGGAGCATATCTTAATCTGCTGTCAATCACTACTACCTTGACAGGATGTGATATATTAATCCTATGATTTGTATTCATTCTACTAGCAGCAGGAGTAAATGTCAGATATATATACTTAACCTCCCAGTTCACATTATTTGTACACAGCCTTCTCTTCAAAGAAGGGACCTACATTTTTGTTTCACCAATCCTTGTCATGTGATTGGTATGTTTACATCAAAGAAAGAACTTTACAATCGGCATCTGAGTCTGTCGCAGTCTGATTGTGAAGGTTTATAAAAAGGCTTCTACTGTCACTATAAATCCCAGTACAGAAATCAGGCAAACACGTCAAGTGGACCAGGTGCTCTGAGAAGCCAAGGCAAGTATGGTCATGGGAGGGGAAATTGGAGACAGACTCATTGAGGAAGAATTCAAGTCAGACCCGATTGGGAAACGAACATTGATGGCCGATAGCAGGTGGGAGGAGGGAAATAATTGACTGAATACAATTGTCTGTTCTTTAAAAGTTTACCAATTATGTCCTGTGATCTTAACATGGCGTCTTGTTCCTGTGCCATTTGGCTTGCTTGCAGCATCCTGTGCAAAATGAACACCTGGCTCTGAATCCGGTATGTGTTATTCTTGTATAAAAGAAATCATTTCCACATATAAATTCAGACTTAAGCAGTCTTGCTTTGTGCAAATGCGATGTATTTATCCCTCAGTTGCTGCTGTGACAGGATGCAATCTTTCAATCCTGCCGTTTAACTCATTGACGCAAAACAAAAACCACAAATGATAGATAATGAATAGCAACTTAACCAAGACTACTAACTAAAGCATTCCTCAGAAAAGCTAAGTTAATACCGCTTCCTGCTAAAGTCACTTTGGTCTATGTTCCATTCAAATTGGAGGATGCTTCCCTGGTGTCAATTAACATTGCTCCTGATCCGAATGCCAAGAGCTGTCTGAAAACAAACTGAAGAGACTTAGAAATCTTTTCATAGTCTACTTATGGAAGCTGATGTATTTTTTTTATTGCTTCACTGAATGACATCTCAGATTGAGACTGGCAAACACAGGAACAAACCGTTTACCTCTTTCTTAAAAATTCTTCTCTTTGATTGCCATCATGAAATTCCACATGGATCACCAAAGCAATTGATATTGCTATATATTCACAAAATAAGACATATTTTCCTCAATAGCATAGACAGCCAGAATGAGATTTCACCTTCATGACACAATTATAATGTAAAAGAACAATTAAAAATTCAGTTTGGACACAGCATGTTGTTAAAATGGTAATGAGATAGCTAATTGGGCTTGTATAAGCAATTAAACTGAAGTATTTTACATTTTTGTGTTTATAACCATTCTCATTATTGATACTTTAAATGAATTAATTCTTTGGATTGAATTTAATTGCACTGGGAACAGTGAAACTTCAATGTTTATCCTTTTGAAAAGAAAGACTTGAACTAGTATATGACTTATGAATTATCAGGTCATTTTCATGTGTTGAAGAAGTTCTTCATTCACTGTTCTCCACTGATTATCATCCGGGTGTCACAGACTTTGAGAGATTAGGGTTTAATTTTCCATCCTCAAATTCATGCACAAAGTCAAAAGAAACCACTCCCAAGACTGAGCACCTGTGCTCACCATCCTTTCCTGGCAGGGTCCCTTTGAAGGAATAAATCATGCTGGAGGTTTCCTTGGAGACAAAGTTTCATAAGCAACATTTCAGAGGGATACAGTTGATAAAGCCCCTTGGGGAGAAAAGATTTCCAGTAAAGTGTCTGAGCGGAGGGTGTAAGCATTCCTGCCAGAGAGCTGCACAAGGGGTCATGGAGACTCTGGTTCTGGAAGGTCCTCCTTACTCTGAGCAGCCTGCTGCAGGAAGGCAGTCTCCATGGAGTTGACAGCCTCCGAACATGGTGGAGGACAATCGCACCCTTGTCAAAATGGTGGTGGTACCACAACACTTTCAAGTGTCTGTCCACCCATATTTAGTTGATATGTTCCCTCAGGTCAGAAGTATATGGCGGAGCTCAGCTGACGTGTCACCTTGCCCCATTTTCTGTGCTCCTCTGCCCTCCACTTCCAGGGCAAGGAAAATCTAGTCCAAAGTGCATTTGCATCTTACCGAGGGTATGTTCTTTCTTTTTCTGAAGGTGCTTTTGTTTTTTTTTCTAAATCTAGTGGATTTGTTTCACAGATGAATGTAAGATGCAGTGACCTGAATGTTCTACAAGTCCTTTCATAAACTTTACCTTGTGCCACTGCAATGGGAACAAAAATGACGTGATGTGGGTGCACAAGTGGAAGGAATTTGGGTGGGGGAGGTGAGTGGTATCAGATATCATGCCACAAATTTCTTTTTTATCCTTTGTTGGGATCATGGAGAGTTTCTGGAAAGGCAGCTGTTTATTGGCCAGCCTTAGGTACCCATGAGAAGATGATGATAGTCATCTTCTTGAACTGCTTTCAAAGGACTTGATATGAGTTGCTTACTAGGCCACAATAGAGGGCAGTTGCTAGGAGTCTGGAGAACATCTAACATAGATCGCTGCTTTCCTTCTCTAAAGTAAAATAGTGCTTAGATTTTATGATAAAACAAGTTTCATGGGAGGTCGCTTTTCGTGATGCTACTTTTTATTTCCACATTTTTAAAAAACGTCTGAAACATGTTGAAAATTTGATTAATTTGTCTCAGATAAGACTATTATAGTCGCAACAAACTAATAATTTTTTTACATTAATTCATGAATGCTTCTCTGATTCTAATTATGATTTAAAAGACAGCTGGAGAATAGATGAAAGATTTATAAAGACAATTAAAAATATTACTTTGATCCAGGATTAAGGGAATAGCAGCAACATAAACAGTCGATAATAAGGCAAGGTACTAAATGAAACAATTTAACTACGATTAACTTATTTGTTTCTCACAAATACCTACTGTCAGGCAGCTTCTGAAGAATAGTTCTTGAACAGCTAGTTAATTTTATGTTCCACTTTGCATAATTTAATTGTAAGTAACATGGAATTATGAATTAAAAACATTTTAATAGTGTAGAAATTTCATACGGTAGAAATGTAACTAAAATAATCCACATTTATTCAAGGTGCCCAAGGGAATTTATGAAATTTTCCACTAGGTCAGAGTTTTACTGATCTCTCCACAGATGACAGAGATTCTTGGCTGAGTTTTAGATATGCATTAAGCTTTTGTAATCCTGCTTCAGGCAGTAGCAGTAAAGTTAAACAATCACTGATTGACTTTTATTAGCTCTGATTTTTCAGCCTGATAGGTTCAGGCACACAGCTTGATGGACGGGTTTTTGTCAGACATCCAAGTTAAGGCCTTTGTAGATGACAAACACGGAAACAGGCTGCAGTGATCCTGTTTGGAGTTTGCTTGTGTGTTTTGATAATATTTGTTGTCTTTGCAATGGCTGCCTGCTGACTTAAAAGCTCATGACGGCGATTAAAAAAAGGATGTTTATACCACTAATTTACGCTGTTTTTACTGTGGAAATTTAATTCAAGCAATCTTTATCAAAAGCTGTCAAAGAAATTTATTAAATATGCAAAATTTGAGTAAAACATTTTTGAAGGTTTCCATGAAATACCAACTTTCAAAAACACATGGAGCATATTTCACTCTATTTGTAACTTCATTCCAATTTTGCTTACGCTAGTATGTATGAGGTCTTCTGGGTGATAGGCGGAAGCAATTACTGATGCACTGAAATAGGAAGCACTTTACCTCTGTGAAATCCTACAGTTTTAGGTTGCCATGTTAATGTATATAGAAACTGAAGTCGGCACAAATTACTTCCTGCAGTAGCTGTTCCTGAATATAAACTCCATATTCTTTAAGACCCTCTTAAACTGCTTTGTATACATTGAATATTAATACATCATCTGTTAGAGGTTTCTATGTGCAGCATCCATCTTTGCATTTACATTCTTATTCATTTTTAACTTCCCCTTCTCACTTTGTTGTTTGTGTTTATATCCTATTTTTCTTTAATCCCTTGCAAAACTCTTTATTGACACTTTCTTCCCCTTTTTTGTTTACAACTTCAATTTACTACAAGTTCGTTTAGTTGGAGACATGGTGGCTCCAGTGTGTTGTACTGTCAATGCCTATGTTTTCTATGAAATAGCTTCTCACCCATGTTTTCCATATTTCTAGTACTGCCATTGAGCAATGTTAAATGGAATAAAGTGGATTATCCAAAGACAGAAGGAGCATTGGGAAGAGTTATCTTTAGAGTATGTGTGCATCTCCTGATACTCATACTGATGGGTTGTTGGGAGCACTATGCCTGTCTAAACCCTCAATTGTTAGTGGTAAGTGTTCCAGGGGCCTCTGATAATGTTAGCAAATGCAATCATTTTGTTGAAGAGGAAGGCGGCATTTACTCCTCCTCACAAAGGTACAATTGCACATGAGTATTTTAAATGCAAACAGATTTGTGAGATTTGTGTGGGGTTCTGTTATTTAATAGTATTCAGGCTTTCAATGCAGGTAATTTTTGCTGACTTCCTGAAATGCAGTGTGGTAGTTTTTGTAAAATCTTTTTGTTTGAAATGTGTAGGACAATGTGTGTTTGCACAGTGGCAGCATGGCTACCTGCACTTCAAGACTTATTGACCATGGAAAATGTGTTCATAATGTGGTCAACTAGGTTGGTTATCATCTGTAAATCAGTCCGTTATGTCTGATGGCAGGTGGTAACAGCAGGAGCCAAAATGCAGAAAGCAATGGCAGATCACTGCAATAATTTCCCAAGAATAATCATGGACCAGTTCAATGGAAGCCTATGGTTTCCAAGAACATCGTCTTATAGTATGGCACCCAAAGAGGGAGAAAGAAAGAGAGAATCCTTTCCAATGCATGACTGTTAAATGAGTGGAATGGTTTAGAGCATGTTTTATTATTCAGAAATCTCAGGGGAATTGTTACTGGAGCATTTTTATTTCTTTTATGTTGTTTCCCACAACATACCTGATGTCAAATGCACCAGGAACTCTGGTTCACTCAAAGAAGGTCATTTGATAACTCAACATGTAGGACAATGATTGTTGAATTAGCTTCAAAGTCCGAACTATTGGCACTTGAGATCTCTAACAAAGCCTTACTGATAAATTACTGGAGAGACTGATACATTGTTCATTCTGTTCTTCAGCATTCTTTTTCATGTGGCCTTCCACATGCCAGTGTAACCCGACACTAATGAAAGGTGTTGACGAGAATTAGAATATGAAATGCAGTTAAACATGCTTTCAGGATACACTGTTCTGAAGTAACATCAAAAAATATTTTTCAAGAATTGTTTAGCATCTTCTATATTTTATAAATGTATCAGTTTCTCAAATTTAATCACCCAGGTATAAATATTTATTCTTTTTGTTATCATTTACATTGGTTTCTCTTCTCACTTCTGCATTATCATCTTTGGCATCACAGAAGTATCAATTCTGAAGGAGGGTCTAGGCCTGAAACGTCAGCCTTCCTGCTCCTCTGATGCTGCTTGGCCTGCTGTGTTCATCCAGCTCTACACCTTGTTATCTCAGTATCAATCCTGACCTCTCTCATTTCCCACTTATATGTTGCTCCTTGATTACAGAGAGCATAGAATGGTTACTGCATAAAAGCCAGTTATATCCATGCTATTTTTCTGTAAGAGCTACACAGTATTTCACAGTCCCTCGCCTTTTCCATGCAGCCCCTGTCATTCTTTTCAGGTGCTTCTCCATTTCCCTGGTGAAAGCTAGCATTGAATCTGCATCCTCCGCAGTCTCTGGCAATGCAGTCCAGATTTTGACTGTTCAATGTAAAATAAAGATTTTCCTAGTGTCACCTATGGTTCTTCTGCAAATTAATTTACATAGGTGCGCTCTAGTTCTTAAAGCTTCCCCTAACAGGAATAATCATTCTCTCTCAATAATTGGCAGAACATCTGTTCCAATTCTCCTTTCCAAGAACAACCTGAACTTCTCAACCCTCCACATAACGAAGTTCCTCATCCCTGGAACTATTGTCAAACCTTTTCTGCACTATTTCTAATGTCTGAGCATCCTTGAAATTTTCCACATTCCTAAATGTGATGCCCAAGAGTTCAGCACAATGCTCCATTTGATACAGAAGCCAATGTTTATGAAGTTTACTGTAACTTCCTTACTCTTATAATCTGAAGGTGAGATTTCCTTCTCCTTGCTGCAGCATATGCAATAGCAAACAATGTAGAAAAATTCAAAAGAATCTCACCACTGAGGAGCATTTTTGATTTTTTGACGCAAACCTTAAATACTGCATTCAAATCTCACCATCAAGTAGTAACTACCTATTTTTATGTAACAGCATCTCCTTAATGCCTCTCTACATTGTCTGTCTTTCTCTCTCTCTCTCTCCCCCTACATTCTATCTGTGTCTCTCTCTTCATTCTCTCTGTCTACATTCTGTCTCTAAATTGTCTCTCTCTGTTTCTCTCTACATTCTCTCTCTACACACACACACACACACACAGCAAACTAAAAATTTCAGATATGCTGAAAACAAATACAGATGGGACACAAGAATACTTTATAAAGAAAATGTCCCAAAAGTCTCTGTGATATGGTATTGGACCTCCTTTTAACCAAAATGGAAAAGTCAGCTTTGGAAGTTAGATTAAGTGGTTGACTGTTCATTGTATGACTGACTCAATACACGTTTAAGCATTTGAACATTACCTGGATAACTTCTTTTGGCTTCACCAGCCAGAATTTATTCCCCATCTCTAACTTCCCATAAGGTAGTTAAGAGTCAACCACATTGCTGTGGGTTGGAGTCACGTGCAGGCCAGACTTGGTAAGAAGGGATGATTTCCTTCATAAATGGTGGAAACCGTATGTGCTATGGTGGGATTCAAACTCATATCCCTAGAATATTAGCCTGGGATTTGGGATTACTAGATCAATGACTTCTATCATGAGATCATATCCTCCCTGAGTCCGACCTCCAAGATGAACTGGAATTAGCATTTATTAATGAAAAGAGCCTGAAACTGTTTAACAAGACCTGTATATCCTGCTTGACTTACACCATTATGAAAAGTTCACATATTGAAGTTTTTTCAAAAAATCAACTGCAATTATCATTCAGTAGGGATCATTTAATCCAGATATGAAATGCACAAATGAACTATATTTCAACAAGCTGCTTTGCCAGAGCTTAGGAGATGGATTTGCAACTAGACATGGAATTGGACAATATTTTCTCTGTGTCTGTTTCAGGAAGTTAACAAGCAACTAATGACAAAGCAAATTGAAGAAACATCCAAACATCAAGAACTCAAAACAGATTGTTTTAATTCATTTACAGGATGTTGGTGTCACTGGCTAGGCCAGCACTTATTGGCTACAGGGCAGTTAAAAGTCAAGCACATTGCTGTGGGTCTGAAGTCTCATGTAGTCCAGACCAGTTAAGGATAGTAGATTTCCTTCTCTAAAGATTAGATGAACAAAATAAGTTTTTGATTGGCAATAGTCACCATTAAAGTAGCTTTTTATTTCAGATCTTTATTGAATTCAAATTTCACTACATACAATGGTGGGATTCAAACCCATGACCCCAGAACAGAAAATTGGGCTTCCGGCTTCTTAGTCTTTGCCCTGAGCTGTGAACTTTTTCTCAAAATGTTGTCACTCAGAAACTTTGGCGTTCTCATCTTAAAATGGAGTTTCACAGTTTTATTTAGATTACACTTAGAATGGCTTTGGTGTTAACTTTTCATGAATCATTGTCTCTTAGAGCAAAGTCAACTAGCTGAAATTCCCCATGGGAGATTCTTCCAATCTTTTTCTTCTTTCAGAAGCTTTTGAATTTTCAAACCTTCAAAAATCCATTGTGTCAATGAAAAGGGGCATGAAATTCTGAAAGGATCTCTGTGGTTTTATTGAGATGACATACACGTCTCTTCTGGCTGAAGTGAATCAACAAGAATCGCCCTTGCAACTTTTTTTTATATGCTGTGTCTATTTCTTTAAAGTCAAATTAGCCTTTTTAAAATACGCAATGTTGTTATTACATCTTTGTACAGAAGATAGTGACTGCATGAAATTATTTACCACAGAGGGATGTCAACGTTGGCTTGTTAAGTATATTCAAGGCCAAAATGGACAGATTTTGAACCAGTCAGGTGAATCCAAAAAGGTTATGGGGAAAAGACAGGAAAGTTGAATTGAGGATTATCAGATCAGCCATGATTTCAATGAATGACAGAGCAAACTCAATGTGGTGAACGGTCTCCTTCTGTCTGTACGTCTTATAGCAATCCTGTTTGACTTGTTAACTGTTTCTCAAACTGCCCTGCCTGCTCCAATGACTTCTGGACACGTACCCAAAGTCTCTCTGTTTTTTCACCTCCTTTTGGAATTGTAAAATTCAGTTTGTGGCTTTCTACTTCTTTCTACTGGAATATATTCCTTCACACGTTTCAGTTTTCAATGTCAGGAGCCGCATGCCCATACATTTCACCAGCTTTTATGACTGCTTGACAGCTATCACTATCTCCCTCACAGTTCACAGTATTTCGAGTTCCATGTCATTTCCAAGTTTTGAAATTGTGGTCTGTATATTCATAGGTAATTGATGTAGGAATTTATGGAGTAGGTGCTGAAAGGATGTGTCCCATGGCTGTGAAGCCTAGAAGCAGGGAACATAGTTTCTGAATACAAGACAAGTCATTTGGGGCTGACAGTAGAAGGAATGTCTGTACTCAGAGGGTGGTGAAGTTTTAGAATTCTCTACCCTCAAAAGCATAAGGAAGCTTTGTCGTTAAGTAAATCCAAGACTAAGCTTGATGGATTTCCAATTACTAATGACGTCAAGAGTTAATGGGATGGTATGAGAACATGGCTTTGAGGCTGATGATCAAACATGATCTTACTCTTCCTATGTTCCTATCAAGACTTCATCTGAAATTTGCACGTGTACACTGAAGACATCCAGCTGTACCTTTAATTATCTCTGCCAGCATCTCCAATATTGATAAATTATCACAGATTCAGGAAAGAAAATAAAAGTCAACTTTTTTTTGTTCCATGTGATGTGGGCATTGTGAGTAATGCTAGCATTTGTTTATCATTTGCTTAACTATTTTGGAAAGCATTTCAGGGTTGGTCACATTACTGTATAGGGTCGATTAGCTCAGTTGGTTGGATGGCTGCTTTGCGATGCAGAGTGATACCAATAGCATGGTTCACTTCCTGCACCAGCAGAAGGACTCTTTCTCAAACTCTTCCCCTTGCCTGAGGCATGGTGACCCTTGGGATTAAATCACCACCAGTCATCTTTCTGTAAAGGGAGAGCATCCCTACAGTTCAGTATGATGACTTTACCTTTACATTGTTGTAGGCTCAGGTATAGACCTGACCAGATGCAGACAGCAGATGTTGTTTCATAAAGGGGATTAATGAAACATATGTGTTTTTATAACAATAAATGATAATTTAATGTTCACCATTACTGACACAATTGTTTGATTTCAGATTTATTAATTGAATTTAAATTCGATCAGCTGTCATGGTGGGATTTGACAGTGTGCTGTCAGGATCTCTAGTCTACTAAAACAACCACTACACCACTACTCCTCAGTGTGAGTCAAAAAAACAATGGTTCATTTTTGGTAATTTTGCTTCCTTAGTCCTAGTAACAGTATGCATAAAGTTTCTGGGGGCTTTTTATTTTGCTTAAGGTAAAGAGGTATAAATTTTGTTTAAGCAGATATAGGTTAAATAATCCATTTCCACTTTCCTTCAAAAGAGATGGTTTTTGAATACTAATGTAGATTAAATACAGCTGCAATGTGTTGTGCCTATCTTACGATACCTTTGCTGTGCAGGTAAACAAAACATCTGTTTGAATTTTCAGACTGGGGGATAAATTCCAACTAAGTGCCAGTTTATTCTGATATGTCTTCTCAGGTTTGAAATCCATGCTTTTGCCACATTTGGCACAGACCAAAGAATGGAGACATTCTGAGCTGATGATTTTTTGATTGACAGCTACGTTGAGGTGGACCTGGTTTGGTGCAGGCTGAGACCAATGTTTCTTTGTCTCATTCTAAGCGACAACTCCATAACCAGTGTCTTTCAATTACAGGTTTATACCTTTATTTGCACTGGGATCAACTGCATATAGTCTGTAACCAGTAGAGAAATATTCTCATTTGAACATCCACTTTCAAGATTCCCTGTATCTAAAAAGATAAGGGAAAGCTCCTTTCTCTCCTTGATAGGTAATAAAGCTAACATGATAGGTAATAAAGGTAAAATTCTCATGTGTTTTCAAATCCCTCCATGGCCTTATCCTTCTGCTTTTCTCTAACCTCTTCTAGATCAACAACACACCATGATCTGTGTTTTTCCAAACCTGCTAACATGTGCATTCCTGATTTTACATTACTGCGTAGGAAGCAGTGCCTTCAGTTGCTTGAGTTGTAAGTACTAGAATTTCCTCATTTTAAAGCTTTGCGCCTTTTTTATCCTCTGTTAAAAGTTAATGTTTTTACTAAGCTTTTAGTTAGCTGCCCTAATATCTACATTAGGTGACTTGGTGTCAAATATTATATGGTAACTTTTCTGCAAAGCAGCTTTTAAAATGTTTTACTATATCAATGTTATTACCTGTTCTCTTTTAGTTTATAACTTGAACTTCTGCCAGATTTCAAGATATTCATTCTGCCCATTGAAGGTAAGGAGCATCAACTCATCCAGTAAATCAATGTACGATGCTGAGGAAATACCAAAGAGCTGCAGATGCTGGAAATCAGAAATTGCCAGAGAAAATCAGCTGGTCTGACAGCATCTGTGGAGACAAAGCAGAGTTAACATCTTGGGTCCAGTGACCCTTCTTCAGAACTGGACCTGAAACAT